GCAATGATGAAATTTTACTTACTTTTTACTAAACTTTTATTAAGATTCTCTAACTTTTTAATTGTATTCAGTTGAAAGTTTTTTGTGAGTAGATGACTTTGAAGTTGACTTCATAAAAAATGTTTTATTGATATTTTTACAGTGTCATATAATTAATCATTTAATCGATTTTTTGTTTATTTAATTTTAATAATTAAATTTAATGTAATTAAATTTTTTAATGCATTAATGCATCATATGACAAACCTAAAATAAAAATTATAAGAGATAAGTAGACATAAAAATTTGTAAACCAAGCTGACCATTTCTATATTATTTGTTTGGCCTCTTTATTTCATTAATTTTAAGTTAAAACGTACAACAAATTATTAAGAATAAAATAGATAAAATATAAAATTAACTAATAGCATATATTTATATTTATTTAGCTAACAAAAATTTACAATAAAAAGAAATCAGGTTATTTTATTTTATAAATCTTAAAAATGCGTCATAATGTAATTCTAAAATAAAAAAGTAATGAAATTATGATATCATAATTACAAAGAAAAAAAAAACAAAAACGACCACACAATTACTAAAAATCGATTTACCCATTTGTAGTAACCTATTTTGAAATTGCAGTTAAAGATTTATCGAAAATGTAACTATAAAACCTGTTTCGAAGTACCAAAGCAATACTAAAAGTACCTGAGCAATACTAAAAAAAAAATCAAACTAAGATATAAATTGTTGTTTTGGCTTTTATAATTTAAACATATATACAACTATAAACAAATATGACTTTATGTAACACGTATAAACACATTTTACAACTATTGCATGATAGATATATTTACCAAAAAAAATGAAAAAAAATTAATAATGATAAAGTTATACATACAAAATGTGCTCACAACCTTTAACAATAAATTTTCGAAATGAAAATCTAAAGACTATAAATAAAGAACATTAAAAAATATAACAATATTTGTTACATTTTTTAACCTACTATACCTTGAATAAGATGTTTATCAATTTTGAAAAAAAACTATTAAATGCTATAGTTCTTGAAAATGCAGCATATAGTTGACCATTAGAGAAACATGGTTTTTGAGATATTTCTTTTGTCTATATGTTTAATTTCGCATGACGTAATATATAGACGATCCCTAAGAGAAAATACTTGAAACTAAAAAGATTTTATTTATTACAATATTTGAACAACCAAGGGACACTTTAAAGAATTATATCTTCGAATAGCAAATTATCAATCACAGTATTAAAAAATATGCAAGAGCTTAGTAAATACAGAGTTTAATCAATTCTCCCTCTACAATTCTCAATACTAGTTATTATTTAAGTCTCATCTAAGAGAGAGAGAGAGGAAGTGTTTTAAAAACAGCATGTTAGAAAAAGTAAAAATATCATGCAATAAATAACAGTAACTGGTTTTATTATGCTTCCAATAAACTAAATTATTTTTATCTTGACTAAAAATTAATTTCCAGTATTTCTTAATTAAGTTCCATCTTCTCTCTAAATGTTGACAAATGATTAATATTGTAAATTTCACATTATATTAAATTTACAAAATTAAAACCATGTTTCAACAGTAAGCAAAATAATCAAGTGATGACAAAGACAACTAAAAAAAAAATGAACACAATTATGTTTAAGATAACAAAAAACAAAACAAAAACAAAAAACTCATTTAAAATTGAAACTGTTATTATTTGTTATTATAAATAGTAAAATTCATACTTTGCTTTATTTTAAAGTGTCTAATGTAAAGTCAAATAATAGACATCAACACCGCTTGACACTGAATTCTGTCAAGTAAGTTTTCGGTTCATCAAGCAAAATTTCTTATATTTCAACGACAATTAATTTTATTACGCCTAGATCTATTTCTTTCATATGATAACAATTTCAAGTCACTTATAACCATTTACACTAATAACTTCTTCGAGCCTAATATTATACATCTGTTATTATTAAATATATATTACCAGTGATTATACTACTGTTACAACTGAATAAATGAACGTTTTATATTTTTACAACTGAAAAATATAAAAAAAATTTATTGACATTATTTTAATTTAGCAAAGAACTTAGAACACAATGCAAAGTTATTTGCATTGTGTTCTAAATTCTTTGCTAAATTAAGAATACTTTCAGGCACAATCTTAATGCACAAAAATAATAAATGCAGAATCATATTATAATATAGTATAATAAGCAATGTCAGTCTAAAGTAATATATATGTATGTATATATATTCAAATTTTTTCTTTGAGATAATATTAATATATATATTCAGAGAAATATAAAATATTTTGATATATAGGCACATTTATGTATATAAACTAACCTGTCAAAAATTAGTCAGTTTTCCATGTTAAATACATAAAATATATATCTAATATAAAATTAAACAAAACATTAAACTTACTCAAATCAGTAACAGTTAGACTGTCTAAATATTTTTATTATTAACCCTTCTATTTTAAAAAAAGAAACAAATGATTTGAAGTGACTAAAAAGCACTTTAGCTCTTTTCAATTGCACTAAAAAATAAAATAAAATCTTGCTTTGCTAAGTTGCCTAGTTCTTAAGAATCTGAAAACAAATAAGTAAAAAACCAAGAACAAACAATTATTTATTTACTAAAACTACTCTATTTAAATAAATTAAGTTAAACAGAGAACAACATTGAAACTCCTTGAAAACTGAAAAACTTTTTATCTCAAATTTGCATGTAGACCTTGCTTATAAAACCAGTTGAATAAGAAAAGCATTAAAAAAGCCTAGAAGCTATTTAAAAATGGTATATGCAACAATGAACTTTAAATGTTGATTGGAGTAGATTTTTTAAAAAAATTCAAAATGATTTGTTCTTCTATAGCAAATAAATACACCATAAATCTGAAGTTAAAAATGTAACAAAGAAAAACATCATATGTGAATTGAAAATCAATGTACCTGATAGAGATAAGCTGTGGTGATACCTGAGTAGTAGTTGCTAAATATTATTTTTTTATGATAAACAAGTTGTATTTATAGCAAAATGATGTCTTGAATGAATTTCAGTAAATAAATAAAAGCAGTGAGTTCTAATAATGAAACTACCTATTAATCATTTTTAACAGCTGACACCAACGTAAAGATAAATCAAAGGTAACAACATTACGCGAAAAATTATTAAAGATAAAGCAATGTGTTTTCAGAATAGTTATATTAAAGGCTAGACAACACTTAGACCTAAAGCAGTAACATTGCTTGACTGGTAAGGTTGATAAATCTTGCTCTACATGTTTGCCAAGTCACTTCACTTTGAAATCATGGAAACAACATTATATAAACATATATACTAATTATAAAACACAATATAGTTTTTTAATGTTACTTAGCATATAAAAACTCCCCATTTAACAATCTTGCA